TATGAAAACTCAGAAGAACCCATCCCCCCATGCATGTACATACACACACTTACAAATGCACTACAGTTTCAAATTAGGAAAGTCCAGAATTCTATTACCTCATAATGCAGGATATTTATAATGGCTTCTAGATGTAGAGCTGCCTAACATGTTCACTGAATATTATAGATGTTTTCCCATCTCTTCTCCCACATTTTTTTTTCAAATACATCAAGTCAGGACAGATAAAATAAATATGCAGTTGCTTTTGATAATTCATTTTAGAAGTACCTCAGATGCCATGCTTGTTTTTCTCTACCCTCTTCCATTGCTGGTATTCTACAGACATAGTTGCTCTAAGGTCTTGGATTGCTATCCAGTCCCATTATTTTCATCTCAGTGCATGGAACTGGGGGAAAGGGAAATTTTGCCCTACTACTGAAATTATTGTGTTGGCAAAAATGGCTTGACTTACGTCCATAGGTGATCATCTGCAAGTCAAGAGGTTTTTTCCCACACAAAACACACATCCTAGGACTTTTGAAAAAAAAATTATAATGAAATAATTCCTGACACTGAGATAATTTTAATTGGCTTCCCTTACATGTGAGTCTGCCATAATAATGAATAATTTGGGTCCTTGTAGAAGAAGTCATCAGGAAGAAGTCTTCTCAGAGTCTTGCTAATGGTTCCATTAACAGTACACAGCATGTTGGAATAAGTCTTAAAAGTCATAATGAATTTTTCTACTGTGAAAACATCAGGACAAACCAATCAACACTTGGCATATACAAATAAAAATACCATTAGTAGAATAGGCACATTTTTGTATTAGAAGATTTCAGATTAGGGGGGAAATATAATTTAAAACATTTTAAAGAATACTTAACACCAGTAAGTTCAATTATATTCATGAAATAATAATTAAGCACTTTGAAGAAATTAGAGAGACATGGTGATGATGTTTTCTTTCTTTGTACAATTCCATTGTGGACAGTTTGTAGCCCCTGAAGAGGGCCAGGAGTGTCAATATCAGTAACAGAATGTTGTCCTTGGACAAAACCAGATATTCTCCCAAACTTGGCTATAGGCAAAGACTTTCAATAAGGTCTTGATTCCTGCACACATCCCCTGTACTAAATAATGGTCATTTGTGGTACTGTAGTTTTAAAATTAAATCTCTGGATCCAAATCATGCTATGCAATAAAATGTGCTTTACTAACACAACAGCTGGATTCGCTCATTGCACTATACTAAAACCATACAAACCACACAGTACAATATATGAACTCATCCCTAATGGGTCATTTTATTTGTTTGTTTGTTTGTTTATTTTTACATTTATATGCCGCCCATCTCCCCCAGAGGGTGACTCTGGGTGGCTTACAATTACAGGTATATTTGAATTCATTTTATTTGCGTAAGCTATGACCAACCTAGGGCCCCCCTACTAACCTTTTTTTCCATTCTTTCTTAGGAAGGGAAGAGGTCAGACACCTCTTTGCTTTTAACCAACTCTTGACTGTGATTTCTTTCTAATTGAAGTTTTTAAGAACAAACCAGGACTGAGCCATGGTTTTAAACCAGTTGTTTGCTAGTTAAAAATAGCCACATTTACTTGAATTCAATTTAATGTGGTTTATTTAACATGAGAAGTAGATGGTTTTTGTCTCCTCATGGCTACAAAAAAGGAGGGAGAGTACATGAGCCATTATTGTGTGGCACATTGCTTTAAACTGTCATGTTTTCCTTATTTTGATATAGCATGACACATACAGCCAGATAGTTTGCTTTAGTGGTTAAGGCACCAGGCTAAAAATCTTCGTTCTAGTCCCATTAAGTGTATAGATGTGGTTTATTAGCCTACCTATCATTTAAAAAAATATTCTTGCATGGTCTTTAGAAATTTTTCCATTCTTAACATTTCTATACTGAAAATATCGCAGGCAATATATGTGCAATAAGTCCCTGTTTATTTGATCTTGGTTTAACAAACTTTATGTGCAAGCATAAAATCCATGCATAAAAGAGCTGCACGGTTTAGGATATTTGGGTCTAAAAGTTACCCTTTCTTCCTTATTCATCTGCAAAATTGAGGTTTTACTGTCTATGTATGTATGTGTGATATATGTATGCAAATACTACTGTTGCACATTCTTAGTTCCAAAGGTACTACCAGTCTTATTGTTGTAAGGCAAGGGAACAAATACTGACCAGTGAAGGCAATCTATTTAGCTCTGTAATGTAATTCTGAATTGTTACTTGAGCAGACTGCTGGCAGAGCCTTTTGGGTTCCAAAATAAAGTGCCTCAGCTGTTTTAGTATAGGATATTTGCAGTCCCAGCTGATACAGTATAGGCTGTTTGCAGGCTTTATTAAACAATAAACAGTGACACATATAACAGTCCTTTACAATGCTTATAACATTCCAGGAGTTGGAAAGACAAATAAAAACCAGAGACGATGTAACATCAGGAACTAATTTTGCTATGCAAAGTCTGGACCATAAACACCTGCAGGGAGTTGGGGACCTACGTGGAAGAGTGGCAAGGTAAGTTGGTGGGAGCTACCTTCTGACAGCTTGATAAACCATGTTTTAATCTTGGCAAGTACAAGCGTATATGCTGCTCCTTCCTGACATTACAATTTCAAGGAGAAAATCAGAAATGTTTCCTTTGGGATTTGCGTAAACACAATATTGCGCCTAAAGATGAGACACAGAATTCAAAGAAAAAGAGTTTTGTACTTGACTTGAAGGAGGTTTTTCTCTTACCTTTACCTTTGAAAGGAATTGAAAGTATTGTGTTGCTCTCCTTGCAGCCACTAAAGTACAGGTAGTCCTCGCTTACCAACTGCCTTATGTAGCGACCATTTGAAGTTACGTTGCTGCTAAAAAAAAAAACTTTGCCACCAATCCTCATATTTACGACCATTGCAGCATCCCGCAGTCACATGATTGCAATTTGTCTGCTTTGCAACCAGCTTGTGACAAGCAGAGTTAATACAGAAGGCAGAAGTAAAATTATAAGTCGCAGTCACAAGATTTCTTGCTTAGCAACTGTGTCGCTTCACTTAATGATCAAAGGAAAAATAAGTTCATAAGCCCAATGCGGTCAGGTAATTTTCCACTTAGCAACAGCATTGCTTAGCAACCAAGTTGCTGGTCCCAATTGTGGTCGCTAAGTGAGGACTGCCTTAAATATAATTACTGTAGAAGCTGGCATAGAAATCAAACCAAAAGAGATTGCTGAATGGGCTTGGAAGAGTACTGTCTGGAATCAATATACTTAAAATAGCCATGGATGTCTACAGGGTGTGGTCGCATAAAAAACAGGCAGCGCTTTGGTTGCACTGTTGTGGCTGCCATTTTTACTTTTTTTGTCTATACCCTGTGGACACCCCTGAACATAGCAGAATGAATAGTATGTAGAAATTTGGCATTTTGAAATTTAGCATAGACATTTTCCCCAATGTTTGTCACTGCTCATTTGGATAGTTTTGGAATATGCAGCCTTATTTCATTAGTGTAAAAATCAGGATAGGTTCTAAGACTATTTTCTAAGCCTCAGTTGCTACAAAAACATTAATACGTTTAAAACATTAATACAACAGTAATATTTGTATTAATCTTTGCATGTAATACATGTATTACATTACATGTAATAATTAATATGTATAATTATGTATAATATACATAATATAATTAATATATAATAAATGTAATAATTAAAAATGATATTTGTATTAATTTTGTAATTAAATTTTGTATTAGTGTTTAATTAACATTAATTAACATTAACACTGAAAATACTAAAAAAAAAATTGTATGATTGATAGAAATATGCAATGATTTATATATTTATCTATAATTCCATGGTTTATTGTATTAACTCAGGTCAGTGACTCCTTCTGATATTTATTTGTTTGCTTGTTTGTTTTAAAGGAACCAAGAGCAGGAACACAAATCTCTGTGCTCAGCACAAACTCCTGTCATAGTGACACTAGTACCGTATTTAAACAACCTATATTTTAATGAAACTGAGTATGAATAATTAATCTTAGGTTATGCTATGGTACATTGAAATGATTTATACCACCATGTAAGCACCTTTTGTATATAGCTTACTTACAGTGTTCCCCTAAAGACAGACTGAGCAGGCCTAGTTTCCAAGAATGAAAAATCAGTAATACCGATGAAAGAGATTTTTTTCCCTTCTTTTATTGTTTTCTACTCTTTTTAAGATGAAAGGTGTCCAGAATCGCTCTGGTGTCAGGTGGTCTCTAAATAAAATAAAATGAATGCATAAATGAATGTTACTATGAACACTTTTCTCTTGTATGTATCTGAAACCCTCTTCTCCTTATGCAGCAGATTATTTCAGAATATGTGCTATTTACTCACACACTGTGGTATAGGGGGATATAGTCTCTCTTATGTTGACCTGGCTGTATTCTGTCAGATAACAGATTGAGTTTGATTCAACAGAATTAGCCCAGAACTAGTAGGTTTCTCAAAATATTTATGAACATAACATGTTCAACAAGGCCATTATTCTAGGAAAAAGAGTGCTATGTCGCAAGGTACTCAGAAAAGAGGAAAATTAAAGTTCTTCTAGGAAATAAGGTTATTGAGAAAATATTCTGGGGATTTCCCATGTTAGTCTATGTTGCATCAGTTACAAAGTCTGGTGAGTCTGAAAGAACGGTTTCTGGGTTAGAAGCTTTTGTGAACCAGAATCTACTCATCAGATGTGTGGAATGAAATGTCATGTTGAATTGGCAGGATAGATGTCCCAAGTTTTTTTTTTTTTTAAATATCTGGTTTCTTACACCTATCTATGTGTGTGTACAGTATGTGTGTGTGTTTATCACTTGGTAGAGTAGCCATAAAGGCCTTGGAAAAGATATTCAAATGCCATGATGTGTCTATACCTACAAAGATCAGAATTGTGCAGGCTATGGTATTCCCTGTGCCACTTTATGGAAGCAAAAGTTGGACTTTGTGTAGGATAGGAAGAGTATCGATGCTTTTGAACTCTGGTGTTGGAGAAGACTTCTGAGAATATTGTGGACAGCCAAGAAAACAAACTGATGGATCATTAAACAAATCAATTCAAGGTACAAATCACCACACTCAAATTATCCTACTTTGGACACATTATGTGAAGAGTCAGCTCTCTGGAAAAGGTTCTACTGCTGGGAAAGGTAGAAAGAAAGATAAGAGGATAACAAGCAGCAAGGTGGATGGACTCAGTTACAGAGGCGATGAGTACACCATTGGGAGACATGAAAGAACAGTTTAGGGATAGATCGTCTTGGAGAAAATCTGTCTGTGGTTGCTAGGAATCAAAAATGACTTGATGGCACATAATTAATGTATATTTAAGTGTAATGAAGTATTGTTCATGTACAGTATCTGATAAAATGAACTTTGATCTGTAAACCTTACGCTGGTGAATCCTCAACATGCTAAAGGATTTGTTGGTTTTACCCCAGAAATATAAAATGTAGAGGAAGAATGAAAAGTGTAAGGACTGTGAACCACAAGTGATTGCACAGTAATGCACCAGCCTTTGGGGGAACTTGGATGAAGGAGCATAGAGGTGGAATCTGGAAGCTACAAGAGAGGAAAAAAAGTTACATCTTTCTTTATGATTTGTCCAAATATCCTGGAAAATGAGGAGCACATGTACTTAGCATTAGGGTAAATTCAAAAAGGAAACAAATACTGTAGTGCAGCCTTTGTTTATCTACAGTTAGCCAAGTTCAGCAGCTTGCAGAGGTGGGTAGTCAGGCACCTGAAATGAAGGGTTTCAAGAGTCAGGTAAGAATAAAGGTATGAAATACATAATTCTTCCTTAGGGAAGAAAATTGCTTGTTGGAGATACACTTCTGAGTGATTAACAGAAGTGGGAATTTATGGAATGAATGAAATAGAGAAACTACACTTTTCTTTGTTTCACCTTTCTAGATGCGATGCTAGCATTGCCAAACTCTCTGGAGACATCAGTATCACCAGGCATGAGATTTCAAAACTAGAGAAAGAAATTCATGCTGTCCAGTCTTCCTTGGACAATTATGTGAATAATGCTGAGATGAAGGTGAGTGGCTCTGAATGAATCTATTTTTATTAATCTGTACTGTACGTTAGAAATCATCCAGCTTCTCCATTTGATTTTAAATTGCTGATTCATGTTAATGGAAGACAAAAACAGATTTTTTTTTTCATACTGGTGAGGAAGGGGATTCAGCAGCATTATAATAGAATAAAGATTCAGAATGAGTGCAATAGCCATCTGTATAATTAACATAGCGCAGAGCTGAAATGTGGAGATTGAGAAGTGATGCTGCATCATCACAATACTTACCATTTCTAACATTTTTTGTAACTAATGACATCAGCTTATTAATACAATTATAAACACAAAAAGATTGAGGGTTGGTTTGTTTATTTGTTTTGGTAACACATAAAAGGTCCTGAGATTCCCAAGCATTCCCCTGCTGGCTGGGGAATTCTGGGAGTTGAAGTCCACACATCTTAAAGTTGCCAAGGTTGAGAAACACTGCCTTAAATGGAAGAAATATAAATTCTAATTTTTAACTTATCACTTTTGAGCCTTATTAATGAGCCCTTTTTAAATATAAAAACTCAGATCTGGAACAAAATTGCTTGTGAACAGATTTTTTTCTTTTTTTTTGCTCCCCATCTGGTAACTTCAACCAGACTCCACACATCAGATATTCAAAGTTAAGGTTCCAAGACAGCTTTGTACTTTTTCTTTATTGGAGTGAATTGTTGGATGGAGCGATGTTCTTAGATCTGTTCTGCTGAAGAAGACTTTTTGAGGTCAAAATGCATTTGGTTATTGATATTTCTTTCTCTTATTTTGTAATTGAACACTCTGAAGAAAATATATAAACAGGAGATAATATAAAAAAGAACAAAATAATATAATACAGATATATGTACCAGTGGTTTTAAAATGTTATGGAGGTTATTGCTATCTAAAATATAATTAATTAGATTTGAATACTCATATTAATGGACTAAGAATCACTACTCAATTTAAGCTAAAAATGAGTAACAGAGACTATGGTCAACACAGTATAAATCTTCAAATTGAACTGTACAGTGTAGTAAGTTCAGTCCATATTACAAAATATCTATTTTGATTTATGTATCTTATAAAATTGAAATATATATTCTATGCATAGATAAACCCAAATTTTGTATGTGGTACCAATCCATGTTTTAGATTATAATCTAAGAATGGTTCCCAGTTTGCTTTTAAGATAGTAAGTTATTCTAAACATTGATATATATTCCCACGCTTGATTAACTATTCTTCCATTAATGGGATCTGACAACCTTTCCAGTAAGAAGGATATAATATCCTTTCAGCAATTATCATATATAGAGCCAATTCTATATACTCTGACAGGATACATGGTTTAGTGAAGTTTAATAGTAATATTGTAGGTTGAAATAGGAATTCAGCTTTTAAGATTTGTTTCATACTGGTGTGAATCATTTTCCAGAATTGAAGTTAATCATATCGTTGCCAAATATGAAAAAATGATCTTGCCTGCGCATTATATTTTCAGGATTTTTTTGAAAATGAATTATCCATTTTAGCAATCAAAACCGGGTAATAAACCAACAATAAAACATCTTGTATCATATAATCTTCAGAGAAAATATAATATTGTTCTTCCATTGAAATTTCCTGGTTATTGATACACTTAAAATTTTTATGTGGTTATCCTCTCACACTAATCAATTGCACCTAGTGCTTGCTGTTAAAAATTTTGGTGAAGTGTATTCCTCTGGTTCATCATATTAAAAGTTATTCTTAAGTGAATAGACTTTTTCCCACTCTTACTTTTTCTGTGCTCCTGATTAAGGGCAAGTTTATTTTTCATTTTGTTAATTTGATTCCTGGGCAGCTGTCAATGTCTACCACCATTGTTGGGGCCAGTGGTCAACCTGGAGGGGAGGCAGCCATAAGCTTCCACGCTACCTGGCGTTACGTGCGTCATGCTCTTCTTGGTGAGGAACATGAGGACTTTGGGGAAAGGCCAAGGTTTCAGGTGGGACTTTGGCAGGGGCTTCCATAACTTGATGAGTAGGCCTCATACACTGACTTTAGCCCACAGATCAAAAGTTCTTCTCCAGCTCTCTATTATGGAGTGGACTCCTTGTTTCCTTAGGAAATGCTCATCTGGTGTCCTTATCACTATTCACAACATGTTAACCACACCTTATTCCACAAATCTCCTGTCTTTCTTGTTACCAAAGGATCATGCTTCCTGACAGGATGTAAGCAGAAATGTTCTATCTAGAATGTAAAACAAAGTTATTTTGAACTTGCCCTCCCTTGGTAATCTTAGAAAGCAAGCTGCTTCTACAACTAACGAAAAATAGAATAAATGTGTGTCATAATCATATAAAATGAGCTACTGATATAAGTAGTCCTCATTTAGTGACCCCAATTGGAACCAGCAACTCAGTGGTTAAGCAAAGAGGTCACTAAGTGAAACCATGTCTGTGCTTACGATCTTACCTGAGCTTTCCTTTGCTTTAAAGACCTGTGAAGGTTGTAAGCACAAATGTGAGGATTAGTTGCAAAGTTACTTTTTAATCTCTGTCATAACTGCGAACAGTTGCTGTATGAGGCAGTCACTATGTAAAAACAAAGGCAAGCCTTTCATGCAGAAATATGACAGAATGGGTCAATTAAAAGCTTGACAGGAAAAGAATTCACACAAGCTAACTACCCAAAATGGAATAGCACACGGCACAGCTCTGCCTGGAAATGTAGTATGTTAGAAAAAAGGGCCTTATCTTCACCTTCTCCCTAGCAATCTATGTATAATCTGATTATCTCTGTGCACAGTTTCTATACAAAATCCAACAAATGCTGGACACTAATAATTATTTTGGTGTAGTTGATGGGAATCTTTTATTATACAGCAAAATTAATTGTGAGAAAAGCTTATAAGAATGAGCCTATCTGAAATTCTGGCTTTTCCCATAGTCACTGCAACCGTAACGTGTATTTAATGTAAATGCTGGGATTCTAGCTCATACAGTTTCTTCTTGTTCTTATTAGGTAATGCAGCTTTTAGGCAAGATAGAGACTTCAAACTCAGAGCAAACTTCAAATTTAAAGGCAATACAGGGGGATCAGCACCATGAATTGCAGCTCTTGGACTTCAAGTAGGTGATCAAAGCTTTTCAATTATGTTAATGTACTTGGTGAGAAGTTTTAGCATAATGGTATTGGCATGAGAGAACACCACCAAATTAATATACTTGCCTTTAGGAATCCTGACAGGCCAGCAAGGATAAACGTTTCCTGAAATCTCATAAATCTTTTTAGCAAAGCTAATTCAGTGCTTTCACCCTAAGAACAAGGCCTTGCTTTTCTTATTTAATGACAAAAGAACTATCATGAAACTGAAATAAATAGAAAAAAGGCAGAAAATCATGATAAAAGCTAATGTAAATACGGAATGAAGCTTTAAGGGATTAGAGTAGGAAAAAGACTGTAAAAACTGGGAGTGGGGTATCTATGCTATGCATAACTGTATCAGATCTTTATCTTCCTAACTCATGTAAAGAGATCTAAAATACAGCTGTACTGTGCTTCAGTTTTCATTTTGAAGAATTGCTTTTAAACACAAGAGCTTGAATACAGCATCTGTCTACACTTATTAAAGTAGCTGTATTGTTTCCAAGATTGATATGGCTGCAGTGAATGCCCCTCTGCAATGGCTACTTAATCTTGGCAAGGTGCAGCTGCTTTAATAAGTCACAGACAGGTACTATGATTGTGCTCTCTTGCATTCTGAATTACTTTTTTTGAATCAGATCTGAAGCACTCAGATGCAAGATAAATAGATCTATTTATCTCTATATAACTGTAAAATCAGTATTTATGTTTTAAAAAACAGAAAGAAGAAGACAACTTAGAAGTGTTTGGAGAAGTGTTTGTTTCTTCACTTCATTCTTGTCTTTCACATATCTGTTCATCAGCTGCCCCCCAACCCCAAGAGTAGTTGATGCTCATATTCAACTCCTTTCCTATACTTGCAAAAGCACTGGGTTTGCCAATATAAAAGCTGTGATCAGAAGCTGACTTACAATGCTTAAAAATACATAAGCCTTTGATCACTTTCAAACTGCATTTTAAAGATCTCTCGTTTACATGTCTCCAAATATTATATAAGTATTTATAGCCTTGAATCTAAATACAACAATGTTGCCACTTCAGAGAACCATTAAATATCAAAAATGGCAAAATCCAAGAGTATATGGAATAAATCTTATTTGTGACGTGAAATCTGACTTAAGTTTATGGTGGTTGTCTGAGTGAAACTTTCACACACAAGTTTGGTTGTCATGAGAAAATTAAGACTGAACTAACAAAAAAATTAACATAAAAATTGACTTATGATTCAATGCATTGTAGTGAGATCATGGTCCAGAAGGATTTTTTTTAAAGTTTTAAACTGCAGTTTTTATACTGTATTTTCATGAAAATTAAAAAGTAATTCTCTTTAAATATTAGGATAAATGGTATTTTAAATGATTTTAAGGATCAAATTCAAAACCAACGAAAGTGGATCGAAAGTGAGTTGAGGAGATCTGAACAAGAACAAGTCTATCTCACGAATCAGCTTTTTGCCACAATGAAGGACAGACTGGTAAATACTTTTATAATTCATACAAAGAATACAAATATAACATGCTTTGTTAAAATGCCTCTTTTAACAATAGTAGGACAAAAGATTTTAAACAGATAGTAAAATGTAATGAGAGCCGGTTTGGTCTAGCAGTTAAGGTACTGGGCTAGAAAGCAGGAGACTGTGAATTCTAGTCCTGCCTTAGGCATGAAAGCTGGCTGGGTGATTTTGGGCCAGTTGCTTTCCCTCAGCCCAACTCACCTCACAGGGTTGTTGTTGTGGGGAAAATAGGAGGAGGAAGGAGTATTAGGTATGTTTGCCGCCTCGAGTTATTTATAAAAATAATAAAGGCAGGATAAAAGAAAATCTAAACTTTTTTTTTTAATCTGGTTAACATTTTCAGTGATCTTACATGAATAGTACTGGCTCTCTGAGCAATGGGGATGAGCTGGCAGAGAATTCAAGGAAAGAGAATGGTGAGAAGGGTACCTCACAAAGAACCTACAGCATAAGCACATAAGTCAGGAACACATGAAGGAAGAAAAGGAGCCAGTCAGATTTTATTACTAGACTTTGAAAGCCCATTAATCTTTATATTTTGTGTTCAATATATTGCTAGAGAAAGGTAATATACTAAGGTTACTTCTGGGGAATTGGGACAGTCAAAAATGTATGGATTTTAAGTTGCTACATTATGGATGTTGTTCTTTCAGTCACAGGCAATAAAATATGCCATCTTAAATAAGTCTCTAACAGATGGCAAAGTGCTTCTTTTTCAAACTGCAATCTGAATTACAGCTTCAGTTCTTGGCAAGAGGAAGGCTGTTGGCTCCATGCAAGCACTTAGGCAGAGTGTTTAGCTTCAGAAAATAGCTGATCCAGGACCAGGACCCTCTATCTGAACATAACTTTCCTCAGATTTGGGCGGGTTTTGTGGAGGATACATGGTAGGATAAACTGGAACACTTCACTTTAATTTCAGAAGTAAAAAATTTAGTTGTTTTATAAAATAACCTAACAATCATACTGCAGGAGTACTAAACCTAAATTATTGCACCATGCAGCAAGTTTTAAATATTGTATTTTATAGATTAAAACTATTGAAGCCCTAACTCAATGTTTGCTAAGTGCTTTGATTATTGGAAACAAAATCACTGTGGGCTCCTCACCAGTTAGAAATGGCTCTGCCTTTCAGTTTTAAATCCTCAGATTCTTTCTTAGGAAGTTCCGTTTCATTAAACAATATTGTGCTTATATTAGTGCAGGAATCTGCTATACTTAATAACAGAAATGAATTAGAAACATTTGATAATAGAGATATTTATAAAATAGCATATAAAATTGTTTTTATTAATATATTAAAAATTATTTACACCCCACTGTTCATTCAACAAGGCTTCCAAAGCAGTTTATAAATATCAGAATTAGGATAATTCTACCTGAAAACACAATTTAAAACAAAAAAGAAAAAAAGGTGTAGGAGAGGGAAGAAAAAAGCAATCTCATGGTCAAATTAAACATTAACTTAAAAATATAGTGTTTTTATTCAAAACTTAGCATGGAGAGAATAGCTGGAGAGCAGACAGGGAGAACTGGTGTTGATCCAGACAGAGCCACAAACTAAACTTAGGTTGCGAAAAACTGTTCCATGATTTTGAACAATATAAACTGCTGAGACCAACCTATCTGAATTTAGGCCATGATTGACTCCTGTTGTTTTTTTCCCTCAAAAGATTAGGAGACCAATGATGTACTTGCTACTTACATCTTGAATTAGCAGCTTGGATTTTAGTTACAGTGTTCAACAGTTTATGATGATGGATCTAAACACGATGAAAGGACTGCTGCTTCATGGCCAGTTGTTCATCTGATTTTTTTTTTTTCCAGACTTCTACATGAGCCAGAAAATAAGGAATCACTGCAGCAGCATTTTTTCCAAGCTCACATGGGAACCTGGAAAAAGGCTATTGTAGTAAACAGGACAGAGATGCTCATACACTTGAGATCCACAACGCTGCATCCCACACCCCCGTTTACAGCAAATCTGTATGGCTGCACCAAATAGTTTTTATTAGCTGAAACTTCTTCAGAGACCATCATAGCAAAACATGTATAAAAAAGTTTGGAATCCTAACAGCCTCTTACACTAAATTATCTCTAAATCCATCCAAACTTCTTGGCTGTTCCACAAAAATTAGAGTCACTCATTTAACTTTTGTAAAAGTTTACAAATAAAAATAAATTTTAAAGATTATAGAACATCTGCAGAAAAAAAAATTACAACAGAGAATGAGGAATAGTTTCATTCATTTATACTGAATGAATAAATATTCTTAGTCATTCTATTCATTTTTCACAATGCCTTTCAAAAGGAAATAGCGGAAAAGAAAATGGAAGATGGGTTATATTATGTCTCCAAAAGAGTAGAAAACACAGAAAAAACATTGCAGTTTGATGTGGAACTCAGCCAGGTGAAAAATGATCAAAATAAACTCCATGCAAAGATTACTAGATTTGAAAAGCTGATGTGGAATGAACTGGAAGAAATGCAAAATGAATACAGATCAGGTGAGGTTACTTTTCAGACTTATGTACATTTGTGTGTCTACATGTGTGTTGTCTGTCCACCCAAATTTATCATTCTCCAGATTATCAAATCATACCATAGCAGGAAAACTGAAGGTCTCCTTGCTGTGGCTCAATTTATAACCTTTCCTGAGATGAAGGATGCTTGTGTCATTAAGGACAAAAATCAGCTTTCAGCAGAAGTAACTATTATTCCAATATTTGGCTAGAGAAACAGTCAGTTCAGATCTACTGCTATTTCTACTCTTTTCAGTGTTCATACCAGAAAATATATATATGTACTTATAATCAGGCTGATTTCAGGCATCACCATTATTATGCAGCAAAGGAGAACAAAATTTACTCATCTTAAAACTGGTGGCATTCACTTAATTGAACGAATTGTTCAGAAAATATTTCAATAACACATTAAAATGACAGATCAAATGATGATCTTAGGCTAAGAAGCAATAGTCAAAAATAATTTTGGAATGCAGTGTAAACACAAAATGTGATACTAGTACCTTTTTTTTTTTTTTTT